GAGAGCTTTGGGTTAGGAAAGTGGTTATTCCTGTAGACCTCTTGGAGAAGAGGATGAGGGTGTTGATCTCTGGGTAGAAAAGCTGATTGTTTACTTTTATGAATGTTGAGGGAATTAGTCATCTTGAGAGAAGTTTCTTGAAACTAGTTTAATCAGTTTTAATCACAGCTGTGCTTCATCCCCTTTTTGTGCAATAAAACTGAATCTGTCTCCTCTGTCAAACTCAGCTGCTAAAAGTTTCATACTGAGCTTTCTACTGTCTTGCTTTGTTTTGTGGGAAATTTTGGCTCTTTGGGCACTGTTATTTTTATTTGCCCTTACAGAGTTTCCTGTCTAAACAGTTCAAATACCACCTGAATAAAAACTGTACTGTAAAAATAGACCTGTTGACAATGTTATTGGAAAATTCACAGAAATGTGTGTGTGCCATAAATAGTTATTTAATTTGCTGTGCAGTTTGACATTTTGGATAGCAACATGGCATTTGGCTTTGAACTTCTGAGTACATTTCGTATGGAGATGAGTAAGTTAGCTTTTTGCTTCATGCCAGAGATAGTCAAACTCCTTGTAGAGCAACATTTTACTATTGTCTAGTGTTTTGTGGCTTGGAGGACTTACAAAATCCAATTACAAAATGCTATTGCTTTTCTTTCTAGTTATTCTACAGCAGCATAAGGGCAGATTAAAGGTTGCCTTGTGCTATTGGAAAAAGGCTGGTCTTGTCTTGAGCTTAAAAAACTATGTACTTACTTCGTTGTGACTTTTGGCAGGTGATTTCCAATACTGGTTTCTTCATTTCTAGAATTTAAGAAAACTGATTTGCTTTACTGGGAATATGAGACAAAACTAATTTGAGCATTTAAGGTATTCAGTTTACACTTTTTATATCAATTATAGACATAGTTGCTAGAAACTAAGGTGGTGGAAAGCAGAATAACTATGTGTTATATTTTGTCTGAAAGCATACAGTGGAATTAACGTCTGGTTTCTAGTTCATTCTGGAAAAGTATTGAAGTGGGGATGCAAGAAACTGCAAAAAAAATTGGTGTCAAGGGAAGTACATCACATTCCCATAGTGGACTTGCAAATAGCTTGCCTGTTAATTATCATTATGGTGGCAGAAAGAACCTTTTAAATGCAGTTGCCTTTCTTTATTGCTTTTGTAGAAGGATTCAAATGTCAATTTTTATTTTTTTTTTTGTTCCTAAATGTGACTCAATATGTTTCTAAGTTGCTTCCCCTGGGAAAAGCAAACAGCTTAAGATGCTTTGTGAAAATTGCAGTCTGTGGGTCACTTGAAGCAGAACATCTGGATAGTCACTAGGGGTGTTCCCCTAGGCTCGGTTTTGGGGTCAGTCCTGTTTAACATCTTCATTGATGATCTGGATGTGGAAATTGAGATCACCCTCAGTAAATTTGTAGATGACACTAAGTTGGGTGGGAGTGTTGATCTGCTGGAGGGTAGGAAGGCTCTGCAGAGATCTGGACAGTTTTGATCAATGGGTTGAAGGCAACTGCCTGAGGTTCAAGAAGGTGAAGTGCCAGGTCCTGCCCTTAGGTCACAACAACCCCCTGCAGTGCTGCGGGCTGGGGGAGGAGAGGCTTGAGGGCCGTTTGGCAGAAAGGGACTTGGGGATGCTGGTTGACAGGTGGCTAAACATGAGCCAACAGTGTGCCCAGGTGGCCAATCCCATCTTGGCCTGTATCAAGATTAGCGTAGATTGTCCTGTACTCAGCGCTGGTGAAGCTGCACCTCAAGTACTTTTCAGTTTTGGGCCCCTCACTCCAAAAAGGACATTGAAATACTGGAGTGTGTCCAGAGAAGGGCAGCAGGGCTCATGAAAGGTCTAGAAACCATATCCTGTAAGGAACATCTTGGGGAGCTTAGGGTGTGTTCAGTCTGGTGAAGAGTCAGCAGGGACCTCATCGCTCTGTACATGTACCTGAAAGGAGTTTGTAGTGAGTGGGGGTTGGTCTCTTCTGCTGTGCCTGCAGTGACAGGACCCAAAGAAATGGCCTTGAGGCTTAAGAGAGGAGATTTTATATTAGAAATTTTTTTTCACTGTTCAGGTGGTCAGGCTGGAATAGGTTGTTCAGGAAGGTGGTGGAGTCACTATTCCTGGAGGTCTTTAAGAGACGTCTGGGTCTGACAGTAGGTAATGTGGTTTAGGGGTTACAATGGCAGTGCTGGGTGATGGTTTGACTGGATGATCTTCAAGGTATTCTCCAACTACAATGATTCTATGATCTTCTGTGTCGTGGTTTTCCCTTCACCTTAACAAATTGCATTTAATAGACTATTTTTTTGTGTTTACAGAACTGTGCTAAAGAATAATGACTTGAGATCAAGACAAGAATTAACTACTCACCTCACCAATCAGTGGCCTTCCCCAGGAGCTCTGGATGTCAATGCTGTTGCCTTGGACACTCTACTCTATAGAAAGCACAATCAACAGTGGGATGAGTAAGTTTCATCTTTATTTTGATTCCCCCTTAGAGGAACAGGGAAACTGAAAACTACTATTTCCCTCAGCATACTTTGGAACATATCCTATTGGAGTCACTTGTTACAATGTGCAAAGATCACTGGTAACAAAAATTAGTTTCTCTTGCTTGTCATAAGTTTTCTTCCTTTGGATTAATTTTTTTAAAAAAGGCAAAAAACTAAATCATTACTTTAGGAAAGAACTGGCTTAGGAAATAAAAGTAGTGTCTAAGAGAAGAAAGATTAACTGCATAGTTTTTTTTAGAAAACTTTTAAGGAGAGTTGAATATCCTAGTTAGACCTTTAAATGTGTTGCTATCAAATATTGCTTGCTTTGCAGGAAAAGTTTTCAAAGTCTGGACCAACTTTCAGCAGAAGTTAGTCTTTCTCAATCCTCTCTGGATCCAGGTCACTCACAGGATGGGAAGCAAGATGGAATTAACTTGTTAAATGAAGGTACATAGCCAGTCTGATGTCTTCCTTTAATTTTTTTCTTCATAGCTCTGAACTCCAGTCCCTGTGAGACAAATTTTCGGTGTGAAGAAAACACACATTGAAAAACATATTTTTCATTGTTATGTGGAGGGACTGTGCTTCAAATAAGTTTGGATTTATGAAGATACCCATCCCACTCCTCTGTATTTAAAGCTGAGCTTCAAATATGTTGCACATCTCTTCTTTCTCCATCATAGAACCAGTCAGCTTCACTACAAGGAGGGCCTGCTGACATCTTTCTGCTGTAACAATCTTCTTATGTTTCCTTTTTTTGGTTTTAAAAGAATGATTAAATGCACTGGATTTGCAACTACCACTGTCATCCTTACATCTTGCATTTAACATTTATCTGGAGATACAGCCTGACATTAAAATAGAGAGAGGAACATTATATGAACTGTCTATATAAATGTAATATATGCATACACCTCCTTTCAAATCTGGATGCTCTTATCAAAGCTTAGCTGCTCCATCTTCTGGGCAATTCTGAAAAAGCAGGAAAATGTTGGAAGATTTGTAAAATAGTAGTATTTTGGGTATAGAATATAAAGTGTTATAAAAGAATCCTTTTTGTATCTCATAAATTCTAAGCTTTAAATAGATTTGCCAATATAAAATCTTAGTGTTATGTAACTGCTAAAATTTCTTTTTTTTAAATATAAAGGATAAAAAATTTTGAAAGTTTTTTTTTTTACTTGTATGCAGTATTAAAATGTAATATAATTCAAGACTGATTTCAGCCCAGCCTGGAAGGCATGGGTAGGGTTCTCTGTACCACCTGGAGAGGGAACGTGTGGTTGGTGTAAGTTGTCTTCCCAGTCGTATTTATGAAACATGCCTGAGCTGTAGCATACTATGGAATTCACAGTGGTGTAGATTAAACAGCTTTTTCTGTTTTCTCATTTTTTTATGGTCATTTAATCTTGTGCCACAAAAAATATTAGCTTAATTCTTATTTTTCTTAACAGGAAAGGAAGACACTCCATCATTGCTTGGTCTTTGTGGCTCTCTTACATCAGTAGCAAGCTATAAGTCTCTCACAAGTTTGAAATCAAGTGAATACCTTGCAAGTCCCACAACAGAGATGACAAGTCCAGGCTTAACACCATCTTGAGATGCACACAAGAAGGAAGAGCTTTCTGTTGTATGCATTTGGTTTATGTTCCATCAGATGACTTGTAGTGAAGACTGCTAGTTCTGAGTTAAAAAATAAGCTGCTTTATTTTTTTTTGTCATGGATACCTTTATAAATCACAATTTTGGTCAGTTTTCATTTGCTTTTTCTTTTCCCCCTGATGACTTTTCAGATATTCTATTTTAGTCTGAAGTTATTTAAATCCCTTGGTCAGCTACAGAATGTATAATCTGATGTTTATGACTGTTTTTTAAAATGAAACAGTTGGAAATCAGACCCATACTTAAATGCCATCAGCTTTGTTTCTCCTTGCACTAGCCTGGACTGGCTCTAGCCACTGTACTCTGCAGTGCTTTAAATACTTATCAACTCCTGCAGAGCAGACAGAATCATGAACACCAGTCTTTGTAGGCAAATAATTACCTAAAAATCCAGCTTTTCATCTGTGTATGTTGTGTAGGACCTCAAATAGCATACTTAATCTATCAACAGCTTTTCTCAAGTTGACTCAGTGTTAGGTTTGGCATTCCTGTTAATGTCATGGCACTTAGGAAATGTCCCAGTCACACTGAAACACAAACTCGTGAAATTGCATGTGAATAACAAATGTAACTTGGTCATATAAATCAAGCATACATAGCGATTTGTAAATGGTGAGCAAATTCACTAAATGCTTTTAAGTGGCCTGGGTTATAGATAATCTAACATTATACAAAAAGTTTCTTGCTGAAAAGATGGGGACTATGAATGATTAGGGTAAGCATCTTGTGAGGTTTGGATTCTGTGTTTATTGGCAAGATCCGAAGGAGAGTGAAAAAGGGGAAACATTGTAATGAATGTATTTGTGCGTTAAAAGACTTTTCTCATCCCTGTAGTAGTGCAGTAGGTATTTTTCTTGCTTAGGTAATACAGCAGAACGAACATCTTTAAGTCAGTTTTCTCAAATTACTTGCCATTGATTTAAATTACTGATAGGAGAAAAAAAAAGGTAGACTTTTTTTAAATGTAACTAACTTTCCAGATTACCCAGTTTCAAAGTTTGCAAAATAATTTTTGAATTGCAAACTATATTCTTAATTCTTTGTAAGATACAATGGATCCTTTATCTATGAATTTTGCTAATCAAGGTAATGCTTATCAGTATGATTAGTAACTTTTTCAACAAAAGTGAAATGCATGTAAGTATGTTGTATTTATAAGTGCTAGGGGAAATGCTTTTTTGTGCCAAAGAAGTTTCATAAATTGTTTACATGAGTAGCTGCAATACAAGACAGATTTTTAATTATTGCTTACTCCTAGGTGTTTACAGTATGTCACTACACTCTGTACAGGTTTAGTTGATTTGCCTCTTGTGATGATACCTTGGCACTACTACTTCAAACTGGTTGTCATAGGGCAGGCTTGAAAAAAAGAGAATTCATTCTTACCTTAACTGAAATATTTAGTCTTTTTAAGTACGAGGCTATGCATTTCTGGAACTCAAGGCGCTGCTGGATTTAGCTAGAGGATAAGAATCCATCTCCTCATCTCTCTAATCCATGCTGCTGGAGGTCACTATATCCATGGCAGGGTACACAACCACTGATGCTATTTTAATGCAGAATTTTAAAGCAGTTTAACAAAACCACCAGGTCTTTCAAGCCCTCATGTACCCACACAGGTAATTTCTCTGTACTAAAACCATTCTGACCATTAAATCCTTTCATACATGTTCAGAATGTCCATTACTTCATGGAACTTTTTCTTTTTTTTATCACATTAAGCACCTGTTTCTTGAGTAACATTATTAAATATAAATTTGTAAACTAGAGATGCATTTTTACTACAAATAAAATGAGGGAATCCAGATTCCACAAGTTAACATTCTGCATCAATGTACAGTGATTTAATCGGTCTTGTTTGCTGTTAAACACTTCTCACACCACATTAGTGTTTTGGAGGGGGCAGTAATCATGATCTTCAGTCGTGTTCACTGATGGCTCTTTTCTTAGAGCTACATGTGTCGTTTAGCTGAAGTCTTTTATGTAGTCTGACACGTGTTTCTGGGTGTCATTTTGTGCATGAGCAATCAGTTATGTGCATCTTTCTCAGTTCTAAACATTAACCATTTTTTAAAAATAATTTTAAACCACCAAAACTGTATGGTTTTGTTGCCTTGATGTTCCATAAACGTTGCATGTAAATTAAAAATTTTGTATCATCACTACTTACAAGTTGTTGTCTCTGTTTTAATCACACAGGATAAAGTAAGACCATTCAGTAAATTACAGCATTACTGAATTTATAGCAAATACTTTTCTTGCACAAGGGGGAAGAGTGTTGTTCTTGCACTGTATCATTCAGTGTCATTCAATATCTGCTGCTGCTGTGTTCCCCTAGGCCTTATTTTGTAAATTTACACTCAAAAGTCACAGTGGAAGAACAGTGTTAAACATTTCCTCTGGCAGCACCTTTTGCCAGCACTATGGTATACCTCACGTGGAACCTCACGTCTTTACCCCCCTCATTAAAATACACAAAAAATGGAATTCAACAACAGCATTGAAAATGCACGAAAGGAGGGAGGTAGTGAGGGTAGTTAAAAAGTAATTTAGATCATACAGAGGCAGCTCTGATTTAGTAATTTGAGTGCCTACAGTCAAGTGCAGTGCTGTAGCTGCTCCTACCTGGAGTGCAGCACACTGGGGCAGAGGGTGGCTACGGCAGCAACGCAAACGTGCTCTTCCCTTCAGAGGGGCACAGAGCTGAGTCAAGCTGGCACAGAACCAGGTGACCCCACACAAAGTGTGCATGGCCTGGCCCTGCCCTGGAGTGTGGTGACAGTGACAACGTGCACCTCCCAGAAACATGCAAGGAGTGTTCCTGCAGAGCACCGTTGGCTTCAATGCAGAGATGGGCTTTATTTTCTTTGAGTATTACCTTAAACAAAAAGCCCCTGCAGCCCCTATCAGTGTATGCACTGTGCTCTCTCAGTGTCTAATGAGCATAAGTATTTTTCCAATTTGACAGAATTTTTCTTTTAAAATAAACCTGAGAAGGTTTTATAATATGCACTTACACAAAATACAGAGCTGCAAATAACAAATGTACAGAATGAAACACGTAACAAGCAGCAAGAAAAAATAAGTATTGAATTTACTCTGTATCAACCTCCTTACTGAGAAATAAATACATCTTACCATTGGAAACTCAAAACATTTTTAAACATAATTTTAAAACCCAGCTAAAATATTTAATCATGACTGAAAATTTAACACAGTGGAAGTCATTATTATTCATTGCTATGTCCAGCCTCAATTTTTCGTCTCTTCCTCCTTTTTTCTTTTGTTCTTCCTTCCTTTCTTTTTTCTCTCCAGCTGCAAGAAAAGTAATAAAATCTTCAATGATAATTTAAGGGTAACATGTATTTTCTTAGTTTTAATAGAAAGAGTGAATTAATCCTTTGTGAAAGTTAAAAATGAAACTTTATTTAGTTACCAAATGTAATGGTAGAATTCTAAATTCTATGGAAGGGGAATTCTAAAAAACATCTTCACAGATTTAAATTGGCACAACTTCTATTATTGACTTCATACAATTGGATGAAGAAGAATTAAGGACGTTGATTCTTTTTTTCATTTAAATGAGAAAAGAAAGACTTTCCATATTCATACGTGCTGATCATTATGGCACAAGCAGGAGCAACTTTGAACAGCCGCGGAGTGATACCTGCCCAAAAGAGAAAGGGAAGTGTTCGCTATTATTAGTTTTCAGATGCAAGTGCTGCAGTACAATGTGTTGATCACAGATATCAGTACCATAGTATATCAGTTTAGAGCTGGGATTCTACCTGCTCACATGCCTCAAAATACTGAATTTACTGGCCGTAGGTATTACCAGTGTAATAACCTTATGCCCTCACCTCTGCCACCTTGTGTGGTCTGCCTGCCTCAAGTCCATTGTGTCTCTGCCCCTTCTGTCTCCACGCAAGTGGAGCACCTGGACCTGCAGGGCTCATGTGCTGGAGCACACAAGAAGTGGACTCTATTAAAATGAAGAATCCTGGTCACATGTATAAATAATGGAATTTAGGTGTTAAACGTCTCCCATTACTGTCAACTGTGATCTTGCCAGTGGAGGTTAGAAAATTAATCAGTTTAAAGGAAGGGAAATAAGGCTGAATCCCCTTGTCCGCACACAGCCAGCCCTCTACTTCCACTTGAAATGCAGAGACATCTGCAGAGAGCCAGCACAGATGACACACAACCCATTGAGAACTTGTGTAGCTTTGGAACACAGCAAGGAGCCAGGCAGAGTAACCCAGTCATCTCAGCTACATGTGGCCAACTGAACTCAACTGGTGTCTGATCAAGAGTATCTCTAAATCCTGCTACCCATGTGTCAGGACTTAGTGTGTTTTAATCTGTTAACTGAATTTAATATCAATAATATTGACACTTTGTGGTGTCTTGCATTCTTTAGCATCAGTGCTCTGAAATATACAGACCCTGTTACCCAGCTATGCCATCACTGTAGGACAAGTAAAGCAGTTTAATCTCTTTCAGCAAACCAAAGTCTTGCAAGGCTTAACAAGCTGTGCAGCCACTCACACAAGGGCCCCCAGTGAACCAGTGCAGTGCGGTGAAGTCTGATAAGTATCCTGGATTTGGAATGTCTCTTGCAGATGGTCATTTTAGTATGAACTACTACAGGATTTTATCTCAGTATCATTTTAGTAGTATCTTCTGTCACTTCTTCCTCAGTCATGCAGGAGAGGGACAGTGTTCTCCCATGTTTTACCTCTGATCACCAGCATACCTATAGAAGCTTTTCTTGTTGCCCTTGACATCCCTGGCCAGATTTATTTCCTAACCTGATCTTTGTGTGCTTGGACCATTTCTCTGTGACAGGTTACCCATCCTTGCTTCCACCCTCTGCTGGCTTCCTTATTGTGTCTGAGTTTGTCCAGGAGCTCCTTCTTCCTCCATACAAGCCTCCTGGACTTTTCACCTAACTTTCCCTTTGCAGGGGTATATTGTTCCTGAGCCTGGAGGAGGTGATCCTTAAATATTAACCAGCTTTCTTGGGCTGGTTTTCAGGGCTTTATACCATGGTTCTCTGCCAGGAAGATCCCAGGAGAGGCCAAAGTCTGCATGTGTGTTGCTTTATAGATGCAAACTTGCATAACTGATGGTGTCCACAGAAATGGAAATACATAATTTATTCATGTTAATATCTATAATTAAAAACTCTCTAGTCTGAATTTTTTTAGAGATAGGAAAAAGTTTACCAGCAAATAATCCAGACATCCCATTTCTAGCGACAATTTTCCTCATAATTGCCCAGGTTGATTTACTGTCCCTCTGTGGAACTCAATACAGTAAAAGACAACAGTGAATTAGGCAATCCATACAATGCCACAGAATAATATTTTTAGAAATCAGAGACAGTCACAGATGTAATTGTTACCTTTAACTCCTTTTTAGTTAATTTTATCCATCTTATTTATACAGTATGTTAAATTAATACAGTATGCAAATACACAATTTGAAACAGCAAGACATGGAAAAGACGTGTAGTAACACTTAGAGTAAGATATATGAACAGCTATTATAGTCTTTACTGGATTGCTGATACAGTTGAAAAAAGCCAAAGCAGTTCCATAGAATACATTCATCAGGAATATCCCACAGCTCTTGGAAGCCTAAAAAAATTTTTACAGTCACAGAGAAACAAAATGTAAATGCACAGACAGTGTCCAACTCCAACAGTATCTGGATTCGGAAAGTATTAAACTGGTAATCAAACCATTCTGAATTCCATTCAAATTCAAAAACTTTGAAAAAAATTGAAAAAATCTTTAATTAAATATTACCATAATGGAATTTTAAAAATATAAAGTAACTGGGTTACTATGAACCTAATAAATATATGGCAGACTGTTGGACTGTTGTGTTGCATACACGTTTCAAAGTGGTGTTATGAAAGAACTCTTACATTTATCAGCACAGGAAAATAATTTTAAATGGTAACTATTTATATTTAAAACTTTTTAATACTTGTTCTGCAATCAAATAATAATACATTTTATTTATAATACATTTATATAATAATACATTTTATTGCTCTAGGAAAAAAAAAAAATTACCTGAGAGAATGAAACCTCATGCCAAAAAGTGAGTACTTATTTTCTAAGCAGAAACTAATTGGATACTCAGCCTTTTAACAGTCTGTAATCTTAAAACCATGATATAATATTTATTTAGGTTAATGAAAGTCCTCCTGGTCCACATCCCAAGCAATGGGAAAAAAAGATATATATGACTTCAATTTGTATAAAACAGAGCAGTGCTCTACTGAACAGAAACTTCCTCTTTCATTCTTTTAAGATGTTGGGACATTCATTAATTGGGACATTCATGCCCTCAAAAATAATTTTTTGAAATCACGTGAAAAGAAGGTAAAAAATATACAACTTGAGCACAATAGTTTCTAGTTTAATACTTATCACAAGAATATTGTTATGTAGGAGCAAGTGGTAGTGAATGTTACTTAGAAGACTTTTTCAATAGATCACTGTTCACCTGAATGTTTGCTATTAATTTTTTGCCTATTTAAATACAACTTACTTCATTCAAAGTTTGGGTTCAAAAGAACCTTTACTGGTCATCTAGTCAAACCTCCCTGCAATAAGCAGGGACATCTCAAATTTCCAATTGGTCTGCCTCAATGTAATAGCTTTGGATTCCTTTGTATCAATCTTATACCATCTTATTAGGCTAAATTGTACTGAGCTCACACCTTTTCCCTCTTCCATGCCATTAATGAAGTATGGTATTCTCCTAGGAGATAAAAAAATATCTTGTCTAGATACTACAATTTGGGGAAGAAAAAATGCCTGAGTGATAAAATACTTACATATACTTTAGAAGTGGCAAATATTTAAAGCTATACCCAAATACTAAGTTTTATTTTTTGGAACACTATAGGGTTTTTCTATTCTTACCAACAACTTACTTTTTAAGGTCTCAGTCTCCCAAAGTTGAGTCTGCCTATGTGTTTTCACTACATCAAATGGCTGAGTTGTGACAGCTGCAATCTATCAGGAAATCAGTTCTAATGTTAGTGCACAAAAAAAATTAAAATTTAACCCTAAATTTTGAAATTAAAGTGCACAATTTGAAACTAGATTTGATATTCCAAGGACATGATATTTTTAAGTCTTGTGTGTCAGAACACTGTAGTTTATTCAGATTTATTTAGTCAGCTTGAATGCCACACCATGTGTTTAAAGTACAAATACCCCAAAATACACATTTCTGAGAGAATCATCTAAAATCATACCACTTTTAAATAGTTTATTAGTGCTAATAATAAAGAATAGCATCAGAAAAGAACTTATATACTTACAGAGCCAGATGCTGCTCCTGAAGTAAAAGAAACAAAAAATGTAGGTTCACTTGCACCAACTTCCTTGCACATCATCTTCTTGAAACGTTCATAATTATACCAATACATTGCTATGGTTACAAAAAAATAAAATTACATTACAACAGATTTGTATGTCAAGTACAAAATTTCTTAAGTCTAGATAGAAGAATTCTACTGTGGCAAAAGAAGCAAAGAGAAACAAGAGATGAAAGCTTAAGTGTCCTATGTGATAACCCATGGACAGATTGCTTCATTCCCCCTGTTCTTCATATCCCAAATTTCTTCATATGATACAAATTAGCCAAATCATTTTGTCATTCCCTTAGGAACCTTAGTAACCTCTATCTTCATACAATCTAACCCAAGCACTATAAAACTCACATTCAATTTAATATAAATCAAAATGTAGGCTTCTAATTACTTGTTATGTTTTCAGGCATATTTCATGTTTCACAGATCTCACTAATTTTATAAAAACACATTTCATACAAAATGAAATGTTGCTCAGAACTGCCTCACACTTTTTTGAGGCACAGTATAAAATTTAATTCTGAGAGAACCAAAAAATATGATTTTGCTCCCTGGAATTAGTAACAAGGGAATGCCTCTGTAGGGACTGTCAAAGGAAAGTCCAGCAAACAACTTTTAGGAATAACATCTGTTTCTGTGACAATCTGCTGAACTAAACTGCACTGCACCTTTTCTGCTTTCTGACTAAAACTTCAAACTATATACTACTGGGCTGAATCAGAGAGTAATTCATCATGGTAGTTAGTCAACTAAATACGGCAAATGACAGCTCCATATCCGGAAGGGTAACTATGCCTCATTCAGCACCAAGTTCTGGAGGCTGTGCCAGCAGAAAAATTTCACAGCATTTTCTTGCCATAAAGACTACCAGCACACATGCCTGGCCTCCAACATTTTGCAAAAGTAAAAGTAGCCAGTATGTCAGAAGGCATTCTGAGGGTTTGAGGAGAGCCTACTATTGAAATGTACAAAACCCTAATTTAATATAAATTATCTAAATCCAAAATTTTCTTAAGTCTTACAGGACTCATTTCCCTGAATACCATTTACATTTATATTGTCTGTGATACTGCTTAAAGAAGGATTCAAATATTACTATTAAATCAGTTTCTGTGTTTATAAACATTCATAACTTAAGTTTTGTTCAGTCTAGCTAGCATCCCAAGGAACATGCTTGAAACACTTGGGCTAGGAATAGAGTGGAATTCTAATTATACTTTGCTTCCAGAGTCATGCTGTACTGTTTGACTGTTTTCAATAGGACCTGCTTTCTCAGCTCAGTGTTACACTCATTTTAACTCTTGAGACAGCTGACTTCAACTCCCTGCAGCAAAGGTGAAAACTGACAGCACCAGAGATTCATTTGCTGTTGGAGCATCATTCAAACTGAAGAGCTCAGACTGAAGGTACAAAGGGAGCACATCATAACAGACAGAGAGCAGTTACAAGGAAAAAAAAAATATCAGGAAACACAGTTGGAAAAGGCATTAAGCAGCATTAAACACCCTTAGCTTTACATAAGCATAATTTTATGGCATTTGGGTTTTTTTAAAATACATTTTCCTTTATTCAGGTTTCTACTTGCCTGCTCACTATTGGTTGAGTAGTTCTCAACATGCAGCTACTGCCTTATAGGTTAACTTGTGACTCTACCATCATACCCTCAAAATACTGGGCACAGATGAATGAGTGCACACTGGCTGTCCAGGGAATGCCAGAGCAGTGCCGAACTGACTAAAAATCAACAAGCCTGGCTTGGATCAGTGGAGGAACAGCAGGCATGGACACAAGAATCTGAAAAGGGCTGAGAAGAATACAAGCACATCACCTTAGTGCCCTCTTCTTTGTGCACTCCCTCACAGTGCTCTGATCTTCCCACTCTGTTAAAATCAGCAGGGGGAAGGAAGCTCACTAGCTCCAGCCACACTGCTACAGACAAAACTCAATAAAAGAATGAGAATTTCTACTTGAAGATGGACAGCAGGAATCAGATGAAGAATTTGAGAGTTCCCTTACAAACCTTAGAGAACAGCCTAAGAGAAAATTGCATTTGGCAGAGAAGAAAAATAAGTAAATTAAAAACAAATATTGAACAGGAGACACTTCAGACAAAGAATTCAGATGAATTCTGGCAGTTGTCTTTAACTTCAGCCTTAGTGAAACCATGTTTTCATAGTTCAGAAGCCTTCCCTATTACAGAAGACTACATTAAGTCCCATCAAGGAACTGGATCTTTAAGCAAAATGCATTCCATTCACAGTTTTCAAACACCTCCCAGTAGCTAAGTGAAATAGAACAGAGCATTATAAATTCTGAAAAGAAGACAGCTGAAATAACTTGGTTCAGTTAACCCACTTAACTACCAACTGAAATTTTTAAGTAAATATCCTCATCACACCCCACTTATATCTCACAGACAATTTCAAATTTACACTGGGTACACATATCCTGTAACAGCCCAAACCAATGACTGGCCCACTAAATTGTTTGGAAACACAAATGAAATTAGATACCAGATCATCTTAAGAATGAAGTAGGAGAACAGAAATAGCAGGTCAAATACTTCAAGGGTTCTCTGACTCCAAAACCAGGTTTGAATAAGAATCTTTCCAAAAATAGGTTTGAAGAATTTTTCTGGGCCAACATAAAGTGTTTAGAGATGTTATTCTTGGTAATACCTCAATGACAGAAACTGCTTCAACGACAATTGATGTCTGATGATCCAAAAGAGCTCTGACAAAAACAGGCCTTAAAGGGACAGGGGCTTTCTGGTCCTTTAGCAGTCTCCCCTGTAACATCTGACCCAGTTATCTTTAAGGAATAGCCCTAAACCCTGCTTTGAATCAGACTTTTCTTCTTCTAGGCTTTCAGCTTTGGAGTCTTGCTAAAGGGTTTTTTTGGAGCAGTTATACAAATTCATCTTGATTAAAAATAAAAAAAATAAAATGTTGAAGACACTATGGTGTCACTCTGTACATGTTTCCAAAATTATGTAACAGAACCCTTAGATACACCATTTATCAGAAAATAGCCTCTATTTTTGTCACAGAAAAAATTTCCAACTGAAACTCTTCAAAAGCAGTCATTGCATAAGCTAAAGAGGAGAAGAAAGCATCTAAATACAGAGAAAGGGAATGTAACAATAAATCCTATCTGATATCCACAAACAAAATGGGAGGAGGGGGAAAATCACATCTTCAGAAAATTTATAAATAAAAATACTCAAAAGAGAAAAAGTAAATCTCAGTTATTCCTAAAGCCAACCATTAAAAAGATCTAAAAGCACAGAAAAAATATATAGAAACATAAACAAAAAACTGCATGGAAAATAAACCTTACCTGAGAAAGGTACATCTCTCAGAATAGTAGAAGTCCAGCCCCGCCACAGGGAGGACCACCCATCTACAGCCACTTTGGTGCTGATTAACAGGTACAGCTGCTTGTAGGACAACCTGCGATACTGCATTTGAGTTCTGATCAGCTCCAGGGGACTCACCACAGTAGCAGAACTGACTGCAAAGGAAACATGTTCTTTTTTAGAAAAATCAATACACAATTGTACAATTTCCTGAACATTCAAGTCATGTCTCACCTTACTTTTTCAACTCTCCCATTTTCCTTGAACTAATTCCAAAAATAAGTTTCCTTTCCAGAAAAGAAAACCATGCCTATTCACAGCAACTATGTTTCCAGTTCAGGGTTTTTTTTCAATGCTAGCATGCTGTAATCAATGTAACATGTTGAGAATCCTCATTTTCAGATTAAGAACATAAATAGGCTGAAAATTTCAAGTACGTACTCAATTATTTTCATTAGTTGCCATTTTAAACTGTAACTTGAAGAAAGCGATCTTGATGTTTAAGGCTTTTTTTTTTTGTGTTAAGGACAGAATTGTGGTTACAGATTAAGCTTTTATTGACTTCTAAGCATCTTTGCCACTCTTATTTTAAACTATCAAGAACAATTAGCAGGCAATCTGTATCTGATAAAGTAACTCTTGCATCTTGCACAAAGGTCAATGAGTCATCATTCAGTAACAAGCTGCCATCACACATCTAACAGACATTAAAAATTTTACTAGATCCAAGAATTTTTATTCTATTGCTGGAATAAGGTTTTATGCATAAATTTAAAATCTGGAACAGCCTAACAAGAACAACACGCTACACCACCGCAAAATAGCAATCCTTTTTCTACTAGTCTGCCAGTGCCCATGGTTGTCACAGGCACGTGACATGGAACTGCATCATCAGACCCTTCTAAGAAAGCCCTAAAAAATATATTATCTTAGTTAATTCTACAAAAATAGATGAGTAAAAGGAAAAACAAAAGTAAGAAAATATACAAATTCCATTTGCATCATACAGCAGTATAACCAGTACAAGTTCAATTTTCATCTTTGTTATAATTACCTATGTACCTTCCATTATAGCAAATAACAGTTTATTATTAGATTGATGGCAGAACAGACTAACATTAAACTGTCCTTGGTAGAAATCTAGAGATCTAAAATTTTGAACAAATTGCAAAGGTAGTGAAAGTATTTCAGCAAAACCAAATCTCATTACTTCAAGTTAGAGATTTTGTTGCCCAAGAAATACTGGGTGATGACAGTATTTCTTCCTATACATCATTTAAACCCATGGCATATTTAAATAAAAGTCAGCAAAACAAACTCAAGAAAACAGCACACAGTTTTCTCTTTAAACAGAGGGCAACTTACATCTGCTTAAGGAACCTGCAATAGCTGGAATGTGCTCATCATGCTTTCCTAGTCTATTTTTCAAAGCTTCACATAGCTGGTCATAGCAAGTAAAATAGATTACTGTGGTAGGAACTGCCATTATTCTAAAACAGAAGAGAGGAAATTTAAATTAATACAAGGAAAGCAAGAGAATAAACTCAACCGTCTTGTATGGATATTTTACTTACATTAAAAAAAAAAAAAGGTTAAATCTCCAGCTGTGTGTAATGCATTAATAAAAAAACTACAACATTAATCCCATAGCTTTGACTCAGTGCTTCTAGTTCAGAGTTTCAAATCCACACATTTCCCAGGTTTTTATTTCATTCGGGAAAACCATAAGTAAAATAATGGTAATTATCTCAGTCAAAATCTATTCCATACCACCTCCAGAACTATTTTGATAAAGAATGGGAAGTGAAAGATCTGAAAATGAAGAACCCACATGAAACATGACAGAAGTATTACTAACCTTAACTTTTATGTAACAATTGGATATTACACTCTTGATCAATAGCCATGATACTCACTACTTGAGAGCCAATGTAGTAATAAGCTTTTTCCATACCAGCACAGTACAGACTATAGTAACAACAGGTAGATTCAATAATCATTCAGTGTAAGGGTAAAGCACCACATCTTGCTATAAGATGGCAATTATACTTCTGTGTTATGTGCGTACCAATACAGCATGTACCACCATTACCAAAAAACACCGAGGACCGTCATGCTTGGAAAGCCAACATGGCTTAGTTTAGATCTTCTACTTGTGTGACTTTCCTCAGAAGTTAGTTCTTTGCTGGAGAAGAATTCAGTCAGGTCCTAAGGTTTATATTTTGAAATTGTCACATACTGGAGGGCAAACAAAGCTGAGCTCCACCATGCTTTGTTTTTTTTGTACCTATACACTGGGCACTATCTGCAAATCAGAAGTGTACCAGTGCTTCCACTGGGCACTTTCCACTTTGCACATTACAAGATACAAGTTTAATACACATCTTAGATTCAAAAACTTTCTTGGTTTATGAGAGAGAACATAATTATAGAGGTCTTAATTTCTATCTGTACCAGGTTAATATGAATAAAAGGATAAAACAATTTGGGACTGTTAAGCCTAAAGAGAAGACCAGGAGGAGATCTGATTGCAATGTTTAAGTATGTAAATGGCTCTTGTAGAGAGAAAATGAATTATCTGTTTATCCAGAGAGAATAAAACCCTAAAGTTCTTTGAAATAAAGAAGATGATTACAAAAATTAAGTGAAGGCAATGAGGTGCAACACCAGAGTGTCTGTAAACAGCTGTGCTGCTGATAGATAGCAAGTCATTAAGTAGCAAGATACAAGAAGAATGTGCAGAAGACAGGCCCTTTCCAGTGACCAGGTCAAATCCTGTGATTCAATGATGCATTCAAAGGAGTGGTTACAGTAGGAAAAAAAAAAAAAAGGCAGAATGAGAAGTCCATTGATCCTGTTTAACTACTGAGAATGTATCAGGAAATTCTAAAATCTGGAAAAAATTATACTGTTCATAGACATTTCTGATCAAACTGATTAGTCCACAACTTCAGAATTGACTACATTTTAAAAATAATTTAGAAATAAGCATAATAATTTGTCAAAAATAATTCAGTAATTTTTTAACAATAACTTAGGGCATGTTACCAAAAAAATCCATTCAACTTACAGTGTTGGGGAAAGTCCACTCCACAGCGACTTAATTCCCTCTATTCGAATTATTTTCACAAATGCATCCTAAAAATATAACCAAAGAGCCATAATTAGCTACAAACTTTTGTAGCTGGTAATATATTTTAGCTGGCAGAACACAAAAACGAATGTCTTTGAAAGTATGTTTCTAAAATGGCTTATCATTCTAAGACCCCATTTTGTAACTGTTTACACAAGCTATCACACTTTATCATGCAAACAGTTCCACTGGACTGAACAAAATAATTTGTGTGGCTAAAATTACTATCTTTAAAAAGCTAAAGTACTAAGTGTTTATCAGTGACTGACAGCGCTGTGAATATTATTTTCAGAACTAATATGGCATTGCAGCAACTTGTGGAAACTTCTTCAAAAAATCCACTAAAATAATTTTTTTAAATTTGTGGCAGAGTTTCTAGGCATGAAATAGCAACTGATTCTCAAAGATTCTGCAATACTTGCTTCCTCTGACAACATGACCCCATATATGTAATGTATATACACTATACCATATACAAGTTTGCAATTATTATTGCAGCTGTCTTGTATATTCCCAGGAGACTGACAGCAGAGGAACACTAAGCCTTGAAGATCATTCAACTGAAATCACAACCAAAACGACAAACTTTGTAATGTCAAGATATCTCATTTTCTTAAAACATTTGGGGAAAGAGGTTGAGATTCAATGGGTTAGAATACACCTAACACCAGACATTATCATGGCCTCAAAAGACAGAGAGTCTGGCAGACCACAGAAAGGACTTAGAGGAAGAAAAAAGCAAATAGCTTTAGAGGAGACAGCCTTGATGGACTAATCCTGTGGTGTAAAAAGCTGAATGGGAAAAACAAATAAATGGTCTATTACAATAAACCTGACTAGCTTTGAAAGGAAGCCAGGAATCCCTAGAGGTCCTAACATGGTTTAACAAAAAATGACACTTTTATACTATCTAGTTAATATGTTTATAACCCAGCTTCAGCAAGTTTACAAAACAGGGAGGTATAGATAAAGGATAGGACTCATTTTTTTATAAAATGAAGATAAAGTTACATGATAGTTACTCTTCTTTGAGAATCACCTTGTTATGGCAAAAACCGGCATACATTCAGGTCAAATAGAAAATTAAGTAACTTCCTGAAATTACATAGTAAAGCTGATTGAAAAAATTACAGTTGTAAAGTTATTAATTAAAATCAACCCTGTAAAACTGCTGAAGACATCTTTTGCATTAACATCCCATTCACAAGATTTTAATTCTGAAAAATCCTTGATCATAGGTTTAATTTCATGGCAGAGTCAAAAAATAATTTTGGTTAATGAACTAGCATGAAAGTATTTGCCAGCAAGTTTGTTTCAAGTGTCTGGGAAAATGCTAGTTCTATAAGTCTCAATGGATAGAGAACTTGACACATGAATTTAACTTTAAACACCATCTGTACCATTAGTTAGCTCAGGATCATATTGTGAGATATGTGGGCACAAGGGCTGTAAACAAGTAAGAGAAAACTATTACCTGCAATCAGTAACTACTGCCAATATAGCTGAAGTGGGGAAAATAAAATCATAAAGCCTGTAACCTGTGAGGAGAGCTGTGCAGCTGCCTCCTTGTTCATCTTAAGGAAGGAATATGTACTTTATTGCAGACAGTAGAAGGTATCATCAATCAACAATATAACCACATGAAGACCCTCTCAAATGATAACAAATTCCAGTACAATCCAAAAAACCTGAAAACTTTACAGTATGCTACTTAATGCATAGTCTCATAGACATGTAAAATTCTCTTACCAATGTCCCTTTGAAATGCCCAGGATTTTTATACCTGGCTTTGCTGTTCCCATTTTCACAAACATATACATGATCCATAAGGCCATTGGAGGACACCGAACACTTCCCTAATGAAATGGTATATAAGAATATAGTTAATGCTTGTAAGATTGTTTTTACACAGCAGCAATTTCAAATTGGATATAATGGCAACACAGATTTATCTCTGGTTAGACACAGAGGGGCAAAATAATTTTGGTAAATCAGTAATGACAGATTAGGTTAAAGGAAAGAGGGTACAAATGTACCACTCAGACTGCTCAACTAAACGGAACTTCACAAGGCCCCAAGAGACATATTTAGGTTATACTACCATCTGCTGAAAAGTAAATCTAACACAAGACCTGAATGTCACTATTGCATGTAACTGTGAAGATCTTTCAGATTTTTAAATCTTTTATTAAGTAGCCTCAGCATCCACTTCAAGTGGAGGTATTTATCTACATTATTAGTAGTAGTATCGTATCTTATCTTGGTCTATATTTATACTAGATCATGCCCTCCATTTGTTTTTCATTTCTTCCACATCAACCTGTTTGATAAAATATTATTGCCATTACAAAAATAATTCAGGCTTTACATTTGCAGATTTCTGAAGGCTTTAGAACTTACTCAAAATCAGGATAGAAGGCTCAAGTATTTTTCTTAATTTAATTTGCAAGTGTGACTGCAAATACCTCCACATTCAACATGCAAAACCAGTCATCTCCTTTCCTTTTTAATCTCATTTACTAAGTACAAGTAATTAGTAGGCACCATTAGCACACCTTTGAGAGCACAGTATCTTCATCTATTTAGAGCCCAAGTGGAAAGTGACTTGTTCAGACTACTCCATTCCAAAAATCTCTGGATTCTGGAGGAGATGAACTTTGATTTAACATCCTGATCACATAAGCCCTCTGATGAAATATTTATTAATTTAGTAACAGCTTTTTATTGTTTGACTCAACTCACTATTAGTTATACCTTCTGCCAAAATGAAAATATTAAGACAGGGAAAAAAAAAAAAAAACAAAGCCTGTTTAAAATGGTATGGATGTATGGGATTTTTTTCTACTGTGTCTGTTTAATATACAGTGGTGTGTTGCTTTTCCCCCCCGCCACCATTATACTGGGGAAACAAATTCAAACATTCTGCAAGTATCAGTAACTACAACTATCAGCTAAATACAAGAGCAAAGAGCAAAGTGTCCCCATTACACTACACATTTTGTTTACCTTTATGGAACGGATTGTTTTGGGTTTGCAGTCGAGTTTTGATAACATCAAGAGGAGTTACTAAAATGAAACAGAAGTCATTTAGAAACACCCAGGGTGCCCTGAAAATGTAGACGTTTACAGATTCCTTATCATGAACTTCTACAAGCTTTTTTTTTTGTTTCCAGAGAGAGGGGGGGCGGAAATCCTAACCGTTTTTACAGTGTTATCAGGCAGACAGTAAAGGGCTGTTAGCAGACAATGTTTTCAAGGACAAAGGAGAACTACTCACCCTGTATAGTTTGCAAGACATCGAATCTATCTTTTCTAATTTAGTAACAGTTGCATACGCAACTGTGAAATTGTTTGTTGAAATTAACTTTAATGCAATATTAGAGATACATAAAGCTCATTTAAAAACCACTGTGTCATGTTGTTGGAAATTGCTAAAACTTGTAATATTACATTCTGCTGCTAATCTTTTATAAGTAGTGTATCATAAGGCATACAAAATCAAATTTTGGTCTCCATCATATAAAATAGCACAGCATTCTTCATGTGTTTGTTCTTTTTCAATAAACTTACTATAATACAACTTAAAAAAAAAAGTTAAATTCATTATGTACTTTTCTTTTTTGCTGCATGTAGACAATATGTAAAACATTGGGGCTCTTGAAAAGTAAAAGTGAAGGTTTAGTGAACATTTCACTGCTTCCACTGCAGCCCTTTGAACTATCACAGGCTGAGACATGCTGAACACTGCAGTGGCTGGGCAGCTGGACCACCTTCTTCTGATTATATGGGCTGAGGGCTCGATTCAGCTGCCTGCATATAAGCAGCTGGTCCCATCTGACCCTCTAAGGTATCCAAAATACCTACAGAGTTGACAGAAATGACACAAGATCTACAATCTTACTTACCAAGTGTCAACTAAAGTCAAACGCTCTAGTCCACGTCTCACTAAAAACACTCCTAAGCTCAGGCAATGCAGTCACACCTTAGCTCTCTGGTGCTGCCTCAGTTGACTAACAGGTGGTTGAATATTTGGCTCACACTTCAGTACCTAAATGTAGGGATCTAAATGTGACTCCTGCAGTTCAACTAAATTGCTTAAAATTCGCTATCTAGTAGCATTTCAGCCACTCACACTATTCTAGCTTGTCTCAGACTGGCACTTCAGACAGGAGCCAGGCTCCTGTACCTCTCTTGAGCACCAACACCTTACCCTGTACTGGAACGTACTAGAATGTATGTAAACCCAATTGAAATCCATCTTGGGAATTCCGCAGGTCTGATGTACAGGACACGTAGTGAAACAGAACAAAAGACTTTGAATTTGACAGGTTCCTGGTAAAATCCTATTTTGTAAACATTTGAAGATTTTGCAGGGGAAAAATCATACTTAGAAAATTGCACATTTCCCTGCAGCTTAATCCACATTAACGCCTAAGTCACAACTAAAGGCTATATTAAAACAAAAAGTAACAGCAGCACAAAGTATGAGCTAATGAGCTTGTAGAATTCCAAGAGACATAAAGTGCTGGATGTAACCAACCAATGCTCCTTAGGTATGCATGGGGAAGGAGGTCTTCAGTGATATGACTGAACCTGAAGCAGAAGATGAATTTCATCTACTATCCAGAAGTTTAATAGAGTAAGAAAAATGTATCCTTATAAGCAGTGTTTAGGGAAAAAGGAAAAAACCAAACTAAATCCAACAATAAATGTATTTGATGGGGTAAGATATCAGAGAAGAATTGTTATTACTATGCCTCACTGGGACCAGCCTTGCAGGATTTGTGTGTTGTACTGTAAAGCAGACTTTTATCTAAAATATTTTTGAAGCAGCAGGAAATATGGAAATTAGTTTTTATTGATAACTTTGTTTCTTCTCAACAGAAAGCAATTAATAACTACACCAAATGGAAAAAAGGAAACAGAAAGTCAAAATTAGTAAATATTATTCTTATTTTCAGAAATAGACATTATCAGGGACACAAAAGATTTCAATTAACCATGCTTTTTAAAAGACAAAAAAAAAAATTAAAAGAAAACTATCCAAAAAGATATTTTTTGAACATATTAGTAGAAACATACATAAGCAGACATCATGCTGAGTCAAACTGAAGAGTAATCACTTTGTAAGATTCTCTCTGTGGCCAACTTCATAGCTTGCCTTACCAAATAATGATGTAATTATAGCTCCACAACAAGAGGCTATTGCTTGCTGAACAATGGTAAGCTTTTGTATATTGATATTACTCATTTCAGCCATGGCTTTATCCCTGGAAAAGAAAAACCTGTTAAGGAACAGAAAAACATATTGTTAAGACTATAATCAAAATTAGCAGAAAAAAATCAAAGGATAAATACTTTAAATTTTCATTACTAACTTATGTAGAACCAGCAATATTGCTTTTCTACTTATATACAAGCATCTCGATAATTTTTGAAATTTGAGAGTATTTGAGCCATGTTTTGCAAGTGACTTTTCTAAAAAACACCATAGATCTTAAAAATCCTTCTTACAGAATTACATTTATGTTCTTGCAAACCACATTAAATGTTTAATACGCATTAACTGCAACAAAGTGTTTATGAACATGCAAATAATCCTTACAGGGATAAACTCCCAGCCTGTGGCACATACACTGGAGCACTGCAGAATAATTAAGCCAGCTCTTCTCTTGCTCCCATTTCTCCTGAGAGGTCCCAGGCAGGTCTCCTGGCTGATCCAACAGCCACAGCCTGCTAGTGATGACCGCGTTCCCTGGCATGCTCCTCGTGTAACAGCATATTACACTAATAGTGCTACCACCAAATGTTAATTCCTTGAGCAAATCCTGATATATGGCTGCACAGGTATGGTCACAGCAATTTTAGGAATGTTTTCACAATATCTGTAACTAGCCAGGATGGGAGAAGACAGTGAAATTACTTCAGAAAATAATATCCCCAAATAGAGGTGTATTTCAAAATGTACCACTGTGCTTAAGCGCAGCCCTAACTTTATTAGGAACACTGATCTAAGCTTTTCATTGGCTCTACAAGAATGCTTTGTTCTTTTCACTACGCTTCAAGTTGGATAAAAAAAGATTAAGTTGCACACACCGTCTCTGGCCTCTCAGGTGCTAACAACTGCTAACGGTGGGTGGGGATATTGTCAAATTTTCACGTATCTGTAACTCCGAAGGGGAGCGCTGCCCAGAACCGCGTACAAACCCGCTTATCGGCTGCGCCCGCCTGGGGCAAAGGTCTGCGCAACTCAAGCAGAGCCCGGGCAGGGCCGAGGAGGGAAGAAGGCAGGCACTCCCACCCCGCCTCCCGAGGCAGGGCGCCGAGCTCCGGCCCCACCGCCTCCTTCCCCTCCTTCCGCCCGCCCTCGCCGGGCGGGGCCCAGCCCGCGCGGGCCGTTGGTGAGGGCGCAG